AAATAAATACATCTACTATGAAACATAAATAGCTGGCAGGGTGTTTTTTTTGTAGGTCCAAAGTTTTTGAAATCGATCAGGAGATTGTGAAATGAAATGATACAGGTACATGAAAGAGCTGTTGGAAGAAAAGTCGGTCTTCGGTCTTGTAGCTGCGTTACGCTTGGTTTCTATCACAGTTTTGAATGCATAGTTTTTGAAATGTATGTCGTCGTAGCTTTGATAATTGAAAAAGTTCGTTGTATGGGTATAGTCCATTGAAAAGGTACATTTGGGGTTGCGTTTGTCAGAGGACGCAATTTTATTGTTAGCGTATTTTCGCCAAATTGAAAAATCGTTATTGGCTGCACTTTGACGTCCGTCCGCCCGTTCGTCACACGTACTCCTTCTAAACCACTGAACCGATTTTGGCGATATAGGACAGAGGACTCATTTGAAAGGGCCTGGTCCAAGGATTCCGTGCATACCCATATTTTTTGGTTTTGCGCATGAGCAGTGTCAAAAATTTGGTTTAACGCATGTGCGATGCTAACTATTTTAGCGAATTAACGACATTTTCAAAATGTTGTTTTGCGCATGCGCAATGCCAACTTACTTATTTATGAAGGCATTTAAATGAAATTTTATACATAGGCATTTGGCATAAAGACAAATCTAACACCAGTTTTAAAATTCGGTTTTGCAAATGCGCAATGGCAACTTAATTATTTATGATAGCAGTTAAACGAAATATCATATGTAGGCACCTTGAATGACTCTAAAACTAATACCGGTTTCAAAATTACTGTTAACGCATGCTGTATGTTTGATTTATGAAGGTATTCAATGAAATTTCTAATGTAGACAATGCGCAATGCTTAAAGTATTTATAAAAAGTTCCATATGTAGACACTTCGAATAAAAGTAAAGCTAATACCCATTTCAAAATTGTTTTGTAGTTGTATACTCTCCACTATTTCTCATTAAACTGTATAGACTTCGACGATAGGCGGCTCATTTAAAAGAGAATGGGGTAAGGATCTCGTGCCTACCCAGGGGCGGACTGGCCCGGGGGGGTGGTGGGTTTATCAGTATGTGCTATACTGCTATATTGTATATTAGACCGCTTTAATGTCAGTTTCTTGCTCTATTAATAAATTATTAGCACGTTTCTCTCGTTGGGGTTGAAGTTAGATTGTTCATTATGAAATTCTGTTTTTATGTAAATGTTTTACAATGAATTTATCATTTTTTGTCGTATTTTAAAAGTGCTGAAACACAGTTATAGGCGGCGCGCCTCGTGGGGATTATATACAGGGTGACAATTTGAAAACTTACCACCCCCCATATCTTAGTAAATAAACGAGATATTTAAAAAAATCAAAATCCGTTTCGGTAATTCGGAGGGGGAATCACAATGACATAGTTGGCGACGCACCCCCTCCAACCCCCTGCGCCCCAGCCACCCCAACTTTTAAATCTTAAATAGTGACCCCCATGTGTGATCGTCGTTGGAAAGCTCTGAAAAAATGCTTTCCAACCATACCAAATAGCATTACATTTAGGTTAGTAATTATCGTGCAAATCAAAAAATAAACTGATATGATACATTTGAAATCTGTCGTATTTAAAACACAACGGGCGAACATAGACGAACTAAACTCGGAACTAAGACAGAGAATAATTCAAGAATGTCGAAATATTGCAAAACCAACATTGGAAAGGTTCGACAAGAGTTTGAGAATAGATTATAACTGGCGATCAAAAATGAGTTGCTGTCGAGCCGGCTTTGGAAGTTCAAGTTAAATACGATTTTCCATGTAAACAAAAATTTCAAAGGGCGACTCGACAGCAACTCATTTTTGATCGCATAGTAATACTGTCTTACCAATAACGGAAAACATTTTGAACATTTATTGAAATAAAAGCCAACTTTAGAAAATGTATCATATTAGTTGATTTTTTGATTTGCACGATAATTACTAACCTAAATGTAATGCTATTTGGTATGGTTGGAAAGCATTTTTCAGAGCTTTCCAACGACGTATCACACATGGGGGGTCACTATTTAAGATTTAAAAGTTGGGGTGGCTAGGGCGCAGGGGGTGCGTCGCCAACTATGTCATTGTGATTCCCCCTCCGAATTACCGAAACGGATTTTGATTTTTTTAAATATCTTGTTTATTTACTAAGATATGGGGGGTGGTAAGTTTTCAAATTGTCACCCTGTATATTTTGTTACTTTTAATTATCAGCTGCAATTAAAAAAAACTATATTCTAATTGATTTTCCAGAAAGGAATACTTTAAAATGCAAAAAATGTTTTTGGGGTGCCCCCCCCCTCCCATCTTCATTACACTAATACTTTAAGGGCCCGTAACCTATACAATTCCACCTGGCCCGTAAGTACCCAGTCCGCCTCTGTGCCGACCTGTATTTTTTCTGGTCCTAGCATTAATATTATTAGCAGGAAAGGAAAATACGCTCCCGTCATTTATGCTCGCATTTGTTCTCATAATGACATTTTAAACTTGTTTAAATATCAAGGAGGAGTTAGTCTAAAGTTAAATCCTAGTTTATGGAGTTGCAGCCCTTGTCCCACGGCCGCCATCTTGAAAAAAGGGTTGCAAATGGCTTTTTGATTTATCTGACAAACTATTGGTCTCCCAAAAAATTTATTAAATAAAAAAAAATAATGCTCAACAAACAACAAGAATGAGAGTTTGTGTGGTGTTTTAGGAACGATACTAACAATTTTATTAACGGAAAACCTTACACTCATCTTGACATTTCATTACTAAAGTTATAATTATGTCATCGCATCACATACAATACTGTCAATCTCATGAGCTTTTTAGTTCTTCCTTTTATACCTAAGAATATGTGTACCAAATTTGGTTAAAATCGGTTCAGTTAGACAGACTGACAGACCGACACACCAATCGACATCACTGAGGTTTTGTGCGATTCGGATTCCTGGTGCTTCAGAACCTGTATTTTCATAAAAAAAGATCATTTTTTACCCCAATACTTCCGTAACGTGCGGGTGATGTAAAGCCATTATACAGGGTGTGGTGTCTAAGACCCCTCCGATCATATTTTTCCCTTACCATAAAAGGTATCGAAAAAAGTCTTAGAGCAAAATTGTACAGTTACCGTTGCCATGTTTCTAAAATATTTTTGGTCACTAGGGGCGTACTGTATTCCAGTGGCGTATCAAGCTTGTGTTTTAGAACACCCCATGTTTTATTACGGATTTGGAAAGTACTTGAAAAGTGCTTATATTTTTTGTTACATGTTATGCCCTTAACTTTAAGAGATTTCGCTGTTATAACCTTTTTTCCTGAAAATTTGGTTTTCGAATTTTTTTTCTAAATCGCACCGGGGGTGCAGTGGTGTGACAGTGAAAGAGGTCTTAACCTGTGCCAAAATTCAAAACTTAGCCCCAGGCGCGATTCAATTACCTACTCTTCAAAAAAACAGTGGAAAACTGTCAAATTTTGAGGAAAAAAGGTGATAACATCGAAGTTAAGGGCACAACATATTACTTAAAAAATAAGTACTTTTCAAGTACTTTCCAAATCCGTAATAAAATATAGGGTGTTCCATATTTAAAAAAAAAGTTTGTATGTCACTGGAATATAGCACGCCCCTGGTAATCAAAAATATGTTATGGTAATGGAATTATGATCCGAGGGGTCTTAGATGCTACAGCCTGTTTTAATTGGTTATGTGCACGATGAGTCGAATGTGATACTTATACTACAGATTTAAATCTGTGCTTATAGGTACGAAGGTAAGTTACTGGACCATAAAAGACATTCCTATAAATTCGTCCTAAAATTTTATGGTGTTAGATAGAGCTAATATCACGCTAAATTATGCGTGGCCCCAAGTACCTACCACTGGTGAGTGCAATATAAATGAAATACTTACATAACAAGCACTAAGGGTAATTTATGGATATCTTTGACAGTAAGAATTCCACGTGCCTCCTTCACAAAGAATTTTTATCTCCTATTTCCGAAAATGGGTTCAACGATACACCACAGTGCATCATGAGTTTCTTTTTTCTAGCGATTTCAAATTATCAAATTCATCAGATTAGCACATTGAACCTCATTTTATCGTCATGGTGGCCGTACATTTATTGGTTAAACGTCGGATTATCTGCCATTAGATACGTACATCCCTCCCTTATACATAGGGTTTCGTGACGAGTAACCGTTTACGTGCGTCTCTTTAAAAAATATTACCTACACTCATAAATAACGATCGAATTAACAACGCAGAAACCATAGCAATGTATTTGTATATAAGATAGCAGATTGCTTGTATAAAATGCAAATGAATAAACGTAACCCAATAAACAAAAAAGATCAATAAAATATATGGAATAGCTACGATTTTATTTCCATTATTAGATGATTATTTCATTCCGCCCGTAAAATATGCAATTCGAAAAAAAAACCAATTAAACATTTCCCGCGCGAAAAATAATTGTGTAATATAAAATTACATTGGCACGCTTGATATTAAAGAAACTATAATATGCAAGAATTCCGAAAAGAAAATATCTTTGGAATAAGAATTTCATAGTAAAAACCCGCCCTTTCTGATTCATCGTAATGTTGAAACCTCGGTTGAGACATAGTTTTATTTCTGAACGAATCTGAAAAGTTTACTTCTTATAACTTTTAGCTACTTAGAGTTAATTTATATGAAGATGTCTTCTGAGAATTTGAAACGGGCAAATTTAAATTTAGATATGAAGTTCATAGAACTTCCGTGGACGTTTTTTTTTTCCTTATGCAGTATTATATATACAAAGCGATTAATTAAAAATGTCTGTACTGAATAATATAGAAACAAAGTAACTGCAAAACCGCAATGGTTTTATACACAGAAACGAAACCGTTCCTCAATTGCGGTTAGCAGCACTAAATTATTGTAGTTGACAATAATAAGAGAGATCACAATGAAAAAAAATGAATTATAATCTTATTAAATTGCATACTTACTATTTCGGGCCCATGCGAAAAGATGAAGTAAGGTATAAACGTTTATGTCATTAGAAGAGGTACAATAATCACATATTAATGAAACTTATTAAATTGCAAAAACATGAGTAACAAATTGAGCCCTGACATGAAACACGTGAATTGTGTGCCAATACTACTTACATCACATCGCGCACATGTACTTTTTATCACAATTTAAATCAAAACAAACGAACGAATAATTAAAAACACCGGGTCACTCGATGAGTAGTGCTCGAAATTTACCCCCTTTCACTTTTTGTTCAGTTACGAGCGCTGATTTCGAACTGGTTGATGAACAAAGTTTGAAACGACAAAAACGTTAGACTTCGACGGACGTCAGTGCGGCCTTCGAGGATACAACTGCTTCTGCGATCCGCGAACAACAGGAGACACTTTCACTGTTTAGCTTAAGCTCCTCCAGTCATTAACGATCCGCGTGTGGGACGTACAGGTTCTTCATCAAACCAATTACTGCCTGTGGGTACCCACTGAGAATTTCAATGATATCAATAAATTGCGATTTAAAAAAAAGTTCTCCAGAAATCTTTGTTGCGAGTCAGTTGAATTCGCAAAGCTTTCTCGCTCGTTGACAATTTGAAGCTTTAACTTTAATATAACAGTTTGAAGAAAGTTTTATATAACTCTAGCTAGTGTATTTAACGATTTTCATAATCAGGTTAAGGACAACGCCGACGAATCCCACATCGCAAATCGATAAAGCTACCGCGTGCCACATAGGTATAGACCAGATTGTAGCTTTTGAATTCTATTTTCAAAAGTTGTAGGTGCGGATTCGGTTTTCAACATTTCAGAGATTCAAGCCCATGAATGAGGCGATAATTTGATGTCATTTTGCATTTGCAGCCAACTCTGGAACTTGCACAGCACATGGATCCGTGTGTTGTGCTAAACATGCCCAAGATTTCTAGGTACATTATAAAATCCTCGAGTCGAGAATGTGTCGAACTGTCAGAATACGTTGTGCAAGTTCCTTCAGTTTTCAGCAAAATAACATTACATTCTGTTGGTTGACAGTTCGATACTTTCTTGAGGTTTTTAAATTCGTTGAAGTTAGCTTGGGATTATACGAATGATTGGTTATATCTTATATAAAATACTCTTCATCGTAATAAAAACAGCACTACCTTCGATGAACATGCCCAACATTACTTACAAAAGAACACAAATTCTCGAACTCTTCCTTATAACTTATAAGTAACTCCGGTAAGTTGGATAAGTATAGCTTTTAAAATTGTTGAGTGAGCTCAACGGTTTCACATAGTTTGCAAAACCAATGGTATAAAATGGAACCAATCGTACGCCCTTAAACATTATTATTTAGAACATCAATTAGAATTAGAGCAGGAATTAAGCTCAACACCACCCGAGTTACGTGAAATTGCACAGGGTACTTTCAGTAATTTGCTGCCCGAAAAGTCAAGAAAAGCCTACGAAAAGGGATATGGGATATGCTGAATTTATGGAATGGAGTAACGAAAAAGGAGTAACAACTATTACTGAAAATGCTCTCTGTTGGCATATTTTGACAAAGAAACCAAAATAAAGGAATATAAAGCGTAAAATACCATGTAATGTAATGCGGCAAACGCGACAAGAGCGTCCTACGTGCAAGCACCGAACGTAAAGCGGCGCAAGCGCATGTTGACAAAAATATACTATAATAATATAAATATAATATTTTTTTTCTACAACTGTCAAAAAAACCTGTCATTTTCTGACGAATTTCGAAGCGCGAAGTACTAGATTTTTAAACGGTTAATTAATAAGTAAGGTTGCCCTTGACAACGTGCGCGAAATCGTCAACAGTGAAAAAAAGTATTTCGCACACGTGACAAAGTTGAACTTAAACAGCAAATTTAATTAACAATCGGTTCAGTTGTAGAAAAAATATTGTATATAACGCTAGCGCGAAGTTATTTCGCGGATTTGACTGATATTTTAACTCGGCTTCGCCTCGTCAAAATACCTTCAGTCTCAATGCGCGAAATTGAACTTCGCGCTCTTGTTATATAAATAACTATTTTATTTAGTGTGCTGGAATTTGTTGTATATAAACGGCTAGGCAACACAGGTATTGAAATCAAAAGAGGCAGAGAAGTGAAAAGGAGGCAGAGAAGTAAACTTTCTCTACCTGTTTTCCGCTTCTCTGCTCCTTGGAACTAAACAATACTTCGCTGTTTGAATATGATCAGCGAAAAGTCACATTTGCCGTACGTATAAAAATAGTACTTTGTGTACCAAGGCGGGAAAGTGGTTGTTTTCCGGGGCGAAGGAAGATATGGCCAGGCGAGGCATAATAAATAATAATAATGAAATTGGCCAGTGGCGTAGCATCCGTAAATACGAATAGTAGCAGAAGTACCTAAAAAACAAGCTACTTTTAACTAATAATAAAACACGTTGAACATACGAATGAAATTCGTGCGTTGCCCTATTTATTAATCAGACACGAGTATAAACGAAACTTCCTCTTATCTTTTTTCGGGAATGCCTTTAAGACTAACTGTCTCTCCAGCTAAAGATTGTGATAAAATATAAATCTTAATTGTTTTCCGTTTGATTTTTCACGTAAAGCTGTTTCCGTACTAATTTAATGACTACGCCTATGGAACTTATAGTACATAGCGATCAAAAATGAATGAACGTCGAGTCACCTTTGGAATTTTTGTTTACATGGGAAATCGTACTTAACTCGAACCTCCAAAGGCGACTCGACAGTCACTCATTTTTGATCGCCCGATATAATTCCGTCCTTGAAGACGTTTGTTTTGTTATCAAAATTTGAATGAAATTGTTTCTGTTGCACGAAATTATGTATAGTCGTTCATTAAGCTATGAATTTTAACATATTGAAAGAAGAATATTCAAAGAAAATGCTTTACGATGAAAAAATGGAAAATACGTGGTAACGGCATTAGGCACATTTTCAATATTTACGTCTCAAATGAAATTCTCGGTTCCTCCTTCTCACTCCGGCTTTTGAATCCACAATCTGCACAATTCACCATGATTTTAAGTTGTTTTTTGTTTATTTCCTCTAAATTTAAGCGCAAAAACAAGGCAAAAACTCATAAAAAACGATATAACTTAAATGACATGTGTGCCACATATAAAATGGCCAACTTGTTTAAAGAGGTAACACGATTCATACACGGGCTGTACGGCATACGCGGTATCCATAGGGTACGGTGCAAAATTTACTCCAGTCTACTGTTTTTAGTTTACTGAAAGTAATTTTGTGGCGGTTATAAAATTGCTGACATTTACTGCGAATGCTTCTTTAAAATCTTACAACAATCAATACGCATGCGTGAGATTTACTGCAAAATACTCATGTTGCTTCTACCAATTTGGTGGTAAAAGCTGAGTAAACTGAGTAAAGGTTGTAGTACACACAAACAATGCGATTGACACTGTGAATCAGAATATAAATGCACTACATTTTCTAAATAATGCTGCATCCTGACTAAAGGCCCCCCTTCACGTGCAGTTTTATGTCAGTTTTGACTTTTGGACTGACGCTCCTTCAGTTAAATCCAAACTCGCATGTGAAGGGCTTAAACATGCCAGGCGAGCCGCGCGCTTCAGTTGCGGCGCGAACTGACATGGAGCGACAGCAAGATGTGAGCATGTAGATGCGGCTCAGTTCTCAAGTCGGGATTGACACAATATGACAAAGGTAGAGGTAGTACGCTTAAGATGTGTAAAAGAGAGATAGCTTCAGTAGAATGTAATTGATGAAATTTAGATTCGGTAGTCCTATGTTTCCCGTGTTTCACGGGTTGTTTGATTTATCTCCTTTAACAAGTCAATGTGTGTGGTTTCATTTCTTCTCAGATACCACGGTTTGGACCAATACTTTTTCCTCTTTCTTCTTACTTCCTTTTCGTCGTCCACCAGCAACAAAAAAGCAATTGCTTTCCTCTTCTTCAAACTCATTCTTTAACAGCACTGTTGCACTACCAGACTCAGGAACAGAATAAAACTGAAATAAATTAAAAATGAAGCGCGAACGTGTAGATGCAACGCATGTCACACATCGGGAGCGCGCGCCAGGAATTCAATCGGGGAGCGAAGATAAGAACTGCACGTGAAGAGGGGCCTTAAGGGAACTTTCCTTCTACGCAAATTTGTTACTGCAATAAACTCTTCAATATCGGAGCTACTGCTTTCTAATATATTTTGGATAACGTTATGCAGAACAATAAATTCATTAATGTCCCCCATTTCGGAATCGCAGTAAACAAAATGATAAAGTAAATTTCACACCTCAATCGTATAATCATTCATGGGCTGTTATAACGTAAAGTAAACAAACAAATGCGAGGTTAGAATTTGCTAATGATCCCGACTTTGAGCTAAAGATCGGTTACAAATAAAATTTTACTGTAAGCATTTGTAGTAAAATATAATTTTAAACCGGGTTAGGTACTTGAATTGCAATGCTCCGAATGCACGTAAATTGTAGAGTAAATTTTCGACCGTACCCATACTCTTTCCTAATCTAAGGTATTTAACTTCAACTTTACACTACAGCGAAGCGCCGCATATGTTCCTAATCTCCAATTGTGTCCTTTGATTAAGAAGATGTGTTTACACTTTCCACTTTATCCGGCGCGGCGCTTCTGAACGACACCCTTTATGCTTCTATTTTCTCTTGAATAAATTTCAAGAGTAGGTACCTACTCCTAATGGTATATCTTTATGATATTTCTAAAATGATTCCTACTAGTACTTCTAAACAAGTCCAAGGATCGAACAGGCCATAACCCATAAGTGAGGTCCCCCTCCACCGATCCTGTGATATTTGGAAAAATTGCAAAGATAAAAACTCCAATGTTTTCACCCTGTACCTTCGGTCGCCACAAAGTGCTTTTTCAAAAATCATCAAAGGATAAAATATCCTTATTCCTTAACATGTCCAAGTAGCTGCCAACGGTCCTCGCATCGCCGCTGATGGTAGCAAAGACTCCTGCTCCTTTACTGTGAGGCATCTTAGCAAAAAAGAACTACAATAGGGAAATATGTCTTATGTTAAATACGAAGCAAATGTTGGAGAAAATATGTACAAATAAATATACAGAATTTTTTACAAATACAACTCTTCAAATTGTCTGTTCCTTGCGAGATATTTTTGAAAGGAAATTGTAACTTGATCCCTTCAACGCTTTATTTATGTAGACTACTGTTGTTGCTGAATCTGTTCTAATTCCATTTCTTGGACCAACGAAAATATTTTGGTTTCAATCAAATTTTTATGATAAGGTGAAAATCGCCTAACCTTCGCCGCCACCATTTTGAAAAATAAATCGGAATCATTTTTGAAAACGGAAGGCCGTGCTTCGTTCACTTTTTTATTTGGAATTATGACGTCGGTGAGAATTGAAGGAGTCGATTCATTGGTAGATTCTTCGTCACTTCTATGCTCGAGTTTAACTGGAATTGGAGAGTGTGTTATTTCATTGGTTAAATGAATTTCACTATCATCCATAACGTATTTATAATCACTATCACAACGTCCTTGCGAAATGTCCGACTCTTGTGAAAGGGAATGTCTAGAGTCCTCACATGAAAAGGTGATACTTTTTTGCGTATCATTGGAGTTTTGGAATTCTGCAACAAACGCAAATGTTAAAAATGTCCTTAATGTAAATTGAGGTAAAAGATAATGAGAACCATTTGCTGCTACTTATGTTAAATATTTAGTATGTTCATATATTAATTAATCGGCTCTTGGCCCTAATTTCTGATGAAGGGAGGAATTAGTGTCCAATGTAATCAGAGAAATGACAGATTATTTCTACTGTAATGAATTGATAATGATTAGCACACAAACAGGACTAATGTAATATGGTGCTCTAACAAAATCTGAACAAATTGCACAAATGAATATTAGATATTTGAAAGGGGCGCGTAAAAACGGACCAAAAAGCTACAGTTACCTTAAGTTTACCTAAACATAGTTATAACTGCATCTTTTTATTTAAATTTATGATTATTTGCCAACAAACAAACTACCTTGTGTAATATTTTCAAAGGCATTCATCTCCAAATCTTTACCAATAGCAGAGATATCTGAAATTGATTCGATATTATTACTTATACTAAAATATATACATATACCTGATCTTGTGGATTGGGAGGTAACGCTTTTAACAATTGTATTAGAAGATCTGCACCGGGATCTCGCAAAAGTGTCATAAACATTAGACAGAAAAGTAGCAGATGACTTTCTAAACGCACGTCCTGTATATTCATATACATTGTCTAGTTTTAAATACTTCGCTATTTCTCGGGGCACTTTGGAAATTGTATTTCTTCCGACTACTTGATTTACACATCTACCACGTTCATATCTGAAGAATAATCGCTCATCGACCGCATTGTAAGGTCTAAGCTTCATATAAGTTTGTAACAGCTTCAACCAATCAGAAGACCCCTCAGAATTGTTTGTAATTATAAAGCTTCTTCGTATAGTATTCCGAGTTTCCAAAATTCTGACAATTGCTACATCATCTTTCAGATCTATATCTTTAAACTTTATTTTATGTAGTTCCCCTGTATGACAAGCGCCAACCACTCCCATTATCGCTACAATTTTCATCAATAAATAAATTTCATCTGGAGCTTCGGCAATGAATTTTTCAATTTCTTCTCTTTTAAATATTTTAGAAGTTCTCGGTTGGTATCCATCATTTTTCCTTTTAAGGAAAGCCTTAAGGCGTTTAAATTTTGAAATATCTTCATTCTGTTGAATTGAAATTGTTAGTTTCAGCATGGAGTACTCGCTCCATAAACTCGCTGGTGACTTTAAAACCTCAGAACGTTCCATAAAGTAAGCCATCATTACATTTTCAGTCGTTTTCTTAATATCCTTTGCTGAACACCATTTTGCAAAAGCGTCATACAATTGATTATAACGCATTTTTGATTTCTCAGGTAATAGAGAAGAGCATGGGATGTTATCGGCATCTTTGTTGTTTACCAAGTCATTAATTTCGGCTACTAAAGTGGACATACCTCCTAAAATGCATTTATTCTAAATGAATGCAACGTGAATTATTTTACTTAAGAAAGAATCAATTATTCTTATTATTACTGTTGAGTCTATGTAATAGATACCTCCTATGTCCTTAATAATGGTAACAATTTGAATTTCGTTCGCTTATTTTGCACTTTTGAATTAACATTTTTGGCAATTAAAAACAAACTAAATAAGAAACTAATGGTTTAAGTATAATGCCAAGACAATAAATATTCGCGGTAGAAAGTATCAAGAAAATTTTAACCACATGCATATTCCCTATTTGTTTTGTCTCTACAGGCTTCATAAAGATAGGCAATATGTATACACATATTACATGACCGCATGTAAAAAAAATTGGGTGATAGAGGGGATCAAGACCAGCACTTTTTCCAAATAAATCGAGGGTACGTGTTTCGTTTGCGAGTCACCCCCAAAGAAGTGGTGAAGTTTGGATTTCTTCTTTCATTTTTTTCTCAGCAACCATAAGAGTTACAAAGATGGGTGCGCGTCTTTGAATAGGTTTTCGGGAATGCCCTATCCGATTTTGAAAAAAATTTTCCAAAATTCCTACCACGAAAGGGCACACCCCTACTTGAGGGTGCAATAAAAATTCTGAGTTCGACGAAATTTGGTATCTGGGACTTTTTGAACATGAAAATGACGAATCTGAAATTAGTTTTTAAAATTTCGAAAAAAAAGTTCCACTGCAATTCTTGACCGGACAACAAAAATGGGGAGAATTCCACGAAATTTGGTGGCCAAATAAGAATGCGAGGTACTGTATATGGGAACCTGTCCATCGTAGAGGCTTGCGGTAAAAAAATTTATTACCAAAACAGCCACGAGCAAAACCTGGAAAATATTTGTAAGTTTCTGAAATGACCGCTAGGAGGCGTAACTGCAATCTGGAATCTAAAAGTGATTTTTCTGTGAATTCCGCTATATTAACCTCATAAAAAAATGTCCGGTCTTTGAAGACGACGATAATCTGAACCTTTATTGTTTGACAATTTTTCCTGTATTTCTAAAAATGAAGTGGTGGGGGGTATTCAAAGGTTTCCGTAAAGAACACCCTGTATCTTCGAAACGACTGAGTCGATTTTAACAAACTCGGGTTAATTGAAAAGGGTTATTCTTCGGCTACAAATATTATATTTAAAGTTTTGTTAGTTTCACATATCGCCGCTTGAGGGCGACATTTCGACATTTCTCAAAAAAATTAAATGCGTTGGTTTGATTTTTTTTTCATGAAAAAGTAGCTAAATGATGCCTAAACAAGCTCGCGAAAACCTCATCTCGATATCTTGTTCCTAACCTAAAATTTAGGCCTAAGAAAATTTTATACCCTCAAAATTTTATTTTTTTAAGCTAATTTTTCCGGATTTATTTTTATTATATAATGTGTGGCCCTAAGGTGGATCGATTTAAAAAAGGAAGCTTTTAATAACGCTGTAAATGCTCGAATTAACACGAGTTTGTTTAAATCGGCTCAGCCGTTTCGAAGATACAGGGTGTTTTTTACGGAAACCTTTGAATACCGCCCACCACTTCATTTTTAGAGATACAGGAAAAATTGTCAAACAAAAATTGTTCAGATTATCGTCGACTTCAAAGACCGAACATTTTTTTATTAGGTTAATATAGTGGAATTCACAGAAACATCACTTTTTTAGATTCCAGATTGCAGTTACGCCCTCTAGCGGTCATTTCAGAAAATATTTTCCAGGTTTTGCTCGTGGCCGTTTTAGTAATAAATTTTTTTACCGCAAGCCTCTACGATGGATAGATTCTCAGATACAGTACCTCGCATTCTTAGTTGGCCACCTTGTACATACTTGATGAGTTAAGGAACAAAATTGCCAAACAGTTCTTTAAAATAACTTTTCAAACAAAAGTTATACTCATTTGAAGATTGGGCCTTCGGATTACAAAGTGTCCCCCGCCTACTAGTGAGTGATCTAATTTCGCATTTAGTGAATTGAAAATGTCGAAAATGACCAGAGTGCGCCAAAATACCATGCAAATTTGCAACATTGCTGAATGGGCCTTATTCTGTGCTCTCTATCACTATTTACATTATGAGAGTTATTGAGAAGTGCTCTTTGACACAAACTAGTGAGTTTTACTATCCCATGTAAATTACGCTTTAGGTTTTATCCATTTAAAATTAAGTAATGTCTAGCGGCTCTGGGATCATACTTATTATACAATGCTGTGTAGTGTCAAATTTCTATTTCACATAATAAATCGCTAGATATGTCAAAAAAGCAGAGCTATTCTTATTTCTGGCTGTTGAGACGGTAAGGAACAGTATTTAAAGCTTCCCGTACCATGCCGTTGTTATAGAAGCTGCTCTTTACGCGATTTGCGTAAAGTTTAGAGACTTTAGTTTACTCTGAGATTCACATACCCACGACTACAGTGCCCTCTATCCGTGACCATATATTTATTTATTTATTTATTGAGATATTTATTAATTAAACATGTTGTTATCACGTAATACTGATATTTATGGATACTGATAGTTATTGGTGTAACATTCATAGCACTGCTTGTTCTACACAAAAATTCCCGTATTGCACGAATACTACCTATAAAATGTACATCAAATACCACCCCAAGCCCCAATTCATTCTTAACAGTCATACCGCCTACATCTGATCATGCTACATGCATGCGCAGTCTACAGTAAAATTTGGTACCTATACAAGAAATTATTTCAAACACAGTGTAGACCTACATAGGTTTAATGTAACAAGAATCCGTCTGCGCTGCATTAAAAATGTTTTACAAATATCTTATAATACGGAACATACGAAAAGTTTTCTTAAGAATTATGCTTATATTGCCATTAATTACGATTAGTTTAACAAACGTAGCGATATTAAGCTACTAATAGATATTTCACTTTGATCTGTGTCTAGGTTGGGAAGAAGATTATTGTCATTTGTCATATTCCACTGCCTGCAAGGTAGGTAACATTACTACCAGTTGGGTAAGTATATGTCGAGGTATATTTGTTTCCCATATGTAAGATTTTTTAAAAAATTTTAAAGAGGCGCAGATGGATTCTTGTTACATCAAACCAATGTAAGCACAAAGCACTGTATAAAAGAATTTTTAAATAATCTCCTGTAATACTAGTCCAGGTATCAGAGATCGAAAATTGTGCGAATAATGAAATAATTCCTAGGAAAGTTTTTTTTTCGTCAATTGCTTCTTTTTATCATTACAAACGACCCCATAAAGATTTCTTCCAAAGTTTTGACCCGGAAATATGTTCTTTTTTTTATTAACAAAAAACCAGGTTTTGTTTTTTCAATATGTCCGAAACAAGTACTTTTACACAAAAAATATCCTTATAAGAAATTGAAGAAAATCTCTACAATTTATGTATTCACTTTTTTTTGTAGGTCCAGTACATTCATCTACAGTTGATGATAAACCGACAGGACGGCGGAGGGGCGGGCCGCCCCGGGCGGCACTTTGAAAAGGGCGGCAAAAATAATCATATTGATAAAATGCCCAACTTTGTATATGCGTATCATTTAATGAGACGAAAAGTGTATAAGAAATAATCTTGGGAGAAGAGTTGAAAGGTTTTTTTAACAATATGTTGATGCATCAGTGTTGCTGGATGCGGAAGAAGCTTTTCAAAGCTCAAATTGATCAAAAACCACCTGCGATCTACTATGAGCACTTTGAAGTTGAGTAACTTAGCTATATTGTTAATCGAGCATACCCTTAACGACGAGATTGATTTTGACCAAGTCATTGCGAATTTTGCAGCGCTGAAAGCAAAAAAAATAAAATTATTTTAAAATTGATATTTAGTGATATTTCAGTTTTAATTACTCCCCTCCCCTAACTCATTGGGGCGGCAAGTTTGTATTTCGCCCCGGGCACCACGGTACGCCACTGCGGTAACCTTCAATGTTCAGTCTTATACTTACCATACGAGTGATACAAAACGATATATAATCTTAATAATTCGCTAACCTATGAAAATATATCGCAAAACAATAATGCAGAACTGTTTTGAAATAAAAATTTTCTTGGCATTATGTTACAACCTTAAAAATATGTATTGGCAAAAGTTTGTCAAGGCTTCTTATCGTTTTTAAGTTTTTCTAAAGTTCTCCTCTAATTTTTACCACGTTCCCCTCAATCCCATCTCGATTACTTCTTAACCAATAAAATCGTCACTCATGTTTTAAGCGAGATTGAGAATATTTTCTCGTTGGATCGGTTAAAAAAAGTGTCCCGTTACAGTTTCCGCCTAAGATAATGCCTCTAATGGCAACGCCAAAACAGAGAAAGTATTCTGGCACCTTTGCTAAAACATATTTTGGCGAAAGTTGGTCAAAGTTAATTTGTACTAAAAACTAAAGACCTAACGTCATAGCGTGAAGCCGTGAACTATGCTCTTACTAATGCACTAACAAACACATGATAATTAAATTTTGCCAGCAAAATAAATTCTCTTGGTATGTTATGCTTCCAGAGGTTTGTACCAAGTTACCACCCGGGTGCGAAAGTTCTGATAAACTACCCTCCTTTCTCTGCACGTGAAACATCGCTGTATATTTCCAAAAATTCCTAATTTAGTAAAATACCCAATCCTTTACAACATACATTTTAACCAGAGATTAAAAAAGTGCATGCGAGAGCGCGCATTATTTTGCAATGAAACACGAAATGGTTCCATGTTTATTGGTCAAGTTGAAAAAAAAAATATACTTCCGGGGCCCGGGCCGAATTTTTGCCAGAAATTTATATGGTGTTGGTTCATGACGATAAAACGAAGCGATTGACGACAAAAATCTTCCCTAGGAATTTTTTCAGCAAAAATATTTCTGACGCCTGCACTATACGGGAAACAGGTATACAGAATAATACCACCTACACCAATTGTTCCATATACCTGTTTCCGGTAAAAAGTTTTTTTTAAATTTTTGAAGCAGCGCAGGCGGATTCGTGTTACATGAAACCTATGCGTTCAAATTCAGGTTTCAGTCATGCATGCTTTATACAGGGTGGTGACTTGCCTAACGCATCATAGAGATTTCAATGTAAAATTCATAACATGCGATTATTGGCTCCCCAAATTATTTTAGACCAAAAATGTATTAAGGTTTTTTGTAGGGAAAAATTTTTACGTCAATCAACTGTATTAGTTTTCAATAATCTGGGATGCCATGGAATTTTATAAAACAAAAAGTAAACCCTTCTGTATTATAATTTTTTTTTATTTTTAGCTAACATAACAATAAAACTTAACAATAATCAATTTATAAAAGGTAAAACATTTCCTCCATGGGCACCGAAGGAGGTAAAGTGCCCATAATGGAGGCGGCGTTCCCCCGCTGAATAGCAATACTTATTCGCTGTTTTATCACATTTATTGCTTGTAATAGTAAATTCATTTATAAAATTTGTTAAATAAAATAAAAATGTATTCATTATCCGAGAAAATTGAATGGTTTAACGCGGGAAATAGTGCTCAAGTTGGCGCTTTGTTTGGTGTAAAATATCCAGAGAGGTAAATTCCAAGTCAAACTACTATTACGGGCATATTGAAAAACCTTGAAACTACAGTTACATTAATTAATATTTTTCATATTTGTAAATGTAACAACGCTGTTCAGAATACCAACGAAAATGATGCAAATGATAACAGCTTCGACGTTTTGGCTTTGGTAGCTGAAAATCCAAATTCAAGTTTGCAGCAGATTGCATCCAACGTCGGTCTGCATCATAGCCCTGTTTTAAGACTTTTACAAAAAATAAATTTCGGTCCTACAAATTTCAATGCCATCAAGAACTACGTGAAGGCGATTGTAAAAAACGGGTAGCTTTCTGTTTCGAAATTATGGAATGTAATGAATATCGCGACATTCTACAAAATATTTAATTTACAGACGAAGCAACATTCACTTTACATAACGAACCAAATGTACAAAATTACAGGAAATGGGCAACTAAAAATCCTGATAATTTGGTTCAATCAAGAACGCAGTATCGACAAAAAATCAATGTATGGATAGGAATGTTAGGACATCATATTATTGGACCCTTTTTTATGGAGTACAATTTAGGAGAACGTTTTCTACAACTTCCTCTAGAACACATTGCCCCAGCTGCTGCTGAAGTTGCAAGAGGCAACCAAGAACTTTGGTTTCAAATGGATGGCTGTCCTGCACACAACAGTGGTGATGAAAGAGAATTTTTATCGAGCAGTTTTAACAATAAAGTTATTGGTCCACGATGTACTTACAATCACCTGGCCTGCAAGCTTTCGACGAATGACTTTTCTTTGGGGGCATTTAAAATCAAAAATTTATTCTGGGCAAACTTTTCAAAATTTAAAAGAATTAAAATTCAAGATTTCCAATTATCAATTAGCAGCAGTCATGGTAAGGCAGCAGTTTGAAATGGATTTTATGATCGACTTGGTTACTGTCTTGCAGTTAATGGTGACTTATTCGAACATTTATTGTAAACTGTTATGTTAGAAAACCGTTTCTAGTAATTTGGTCTTTCTGTATGTTGAATTCGCTGTTCTAAAAACGAGTCTAAATATAATACTTTTTGATAGACTTTGATTTGTTTTATAGCAGACATTCCATGGCATGACGGATATTGGCGTAGTTTTGTATTATAAAATTCCCTCGAAAATTCCATGGCATCACAGATTATTGAAAAAGATACGGTTTTATTTTTCCAATTTTCTGTCTTTATTATGAAAAAATTGAAAACTAATACCGTTGATTGGCGTAATAGCGATTTATATATCAGGTACATAAACTGGGTCTTTATGGACGAGCCGTTTATTTAGGTGAGCGGGCTTGCGAGCGAGGTACAGATAAACAAGGCGAGTCCCCATAAAGCCTATTTATGGACGCGATATATACAAAGCTTTATGTACGACTGCAACAACCCTTAAAAATGAAAATTTCATAGTTCAATAAACGATAAAATCTATATATCATTGACAACAGATGTCAAGCATTTGTCAAGTGTTTCTAAAATACTTGAATTTACCTTGGATTGACACCTAAGTACGACTGTCACTATGGTCATTAATTGCAACTGTAATCACCGCATTATCAAGCAGTCGTACATAAAAATTTTTTTCTACAAAAAACCTTAATACATTTTTGCTCTAAAATAATTTTTTGGGGAACCAATAATTGCATGTTATAAATTTTACATTGAAATCCCTATAATGCGTTATGCAAGTCACCACCCTTTATTATGCACCCCAATTTAGTTAATTTGAAATTTAGTGCTAAACATAAAATATTTTAGTTAAGCGACAACAGTTTCAAATTACCTATGAACATTTGGAGAAGGGCGTACTCTGCGTTGCAGGTATAATCCACATCCCTTGCTAAAGGAACATTACATTGCTTTATTTCATCAGAGATGGGACAGAACCTTCTTGTGGTCAATGTAACATGTGTAATTTAATAAATACATTATTCATCTTATAATTCATTGTCCATCAACCACTATGTAAGCACTGTATAACAGTTTCTCTCTTGCAATACTTCAAACAGGTATACGGAACCTTTACCTGAAATTTTAATATAACTCTGGCCAGGAAAGATTGCCGGTCACAGAAAACTTGATCCCGATCTACAATCTCTGTCTTTCGTAAGGGGCTAGCAACTTCCGGGATAGTATCGTGTCAATGTTGAACGAAAAGACTTTTTGTTCAACATTAGCACGATCCTATTCCAGAAGTCGCTCGCATCTTAATAAAAACAAAGATTGTAAATCGACACAAGGTGCGCTGTGACCGGCAATCTTTCCTGGCGAGAGTTATATAGGTAACACCTCGGGTAATTCAGAACCTTGTTTGTCTTGCTGTATAATAACCTGAAGTTGTACCTACTAGTAACTTGAACAATAGGGCAGCTCATCATAAATTATCTTCCCCACTTGTATAACAAGAGATTTACTTACACAGGAGGGTAACAAGGGCTTTTACTTATCAATGTTCATGTCAATGACAATGTCTTTGTAAATAAAACCATTATTACACTCCAACAACTACGTATCTGATCTTAAGCATAGGTAGGTACATTACTAGTTACCTATAATAAATACTTACATAAGAAAGTGAACGGGAAATATCAGCAAACGTACACCTACCTAACTGAACAAAATTTCTATCAATGACATTTCAGAAAGTTGTTCACTTCTTATTTATGAAATTCTAATCAGAAACTTGAAACCCAGATAACTATTTGCAGTAATCTGGATGTAAACACCTACAAGAAAACGTAATGTATAATGCACTACTCTCTGTAATTAAATAAATGAATGTTTTTAATTTTGAATAGTATGACACACTTACTAGATATTCTTTCTTCATACATCTTTGCTTTTACTCCTTGTCTTGTGTAGCTAAAAATTTGTTACATAAAGTATCTTCATTTCAATTTTGTTTAAGATATGTGGGTTTGCTTATATGCAGTTCCATATATCTATAAATTATGATAAAAAGATATTTATTCTCGTTTCTTGCATGCATATAAATACCCTAAGTATAGAGAAAAATGAACAATTTATGCAGGTTTTCTTTCTACCGATTTCAAACAAACAAACCTACAAACAACACCGACACTCGATAGTGTAGTTCACAGACCATCAACGGTATTATAAATTCAATGGTTGAATGTTGAACTATATACATACTACACTCGCAGATAATTTGTAGCGTGACTCTTTACTATGAGAAATGTAAAATTAGAACCTACGACCTACAGTCTGCTTGGTGTCGCACTCATCTAGCTTTATGACGTAAAGTCACTAGTGACTTTAATAAGATTTTATAAAGGGATTAACCATCATATAATAGCTATTTATGTATCAAGTACATAAACTGAGTCTTTATGAACGAGCCGTTTATTTAGCCGAGCGTACATGCGAGCGAGACACAAATAAACAAGGCGAGTCCCCATAAAGCCTACTTATGGACGCGATATATACAAAGCCTTATGTATGACTGCAACAACCCTTAAAAATGAAAATTTCATGGAATTCAATAAACGATAAAATCTATATACCTATCATTGACAACAGATGTCAAGCATTTGTCAAGTAGGTATTTTTAAAATACTTGAATTTACCCTTACCTTGGATTGACACCTAAGTACGACTGTCACATTGACAGGCGGCCGTTTTACTTTATCATTATGGACTAGGCCATAATATTGCAAATCATGGCTA